TTTCAAAATAAAGGTCTGAACACGCCTTAGGAGTATGAAAATATTCTTGTTGCAAATTGATAAATTACGGCTGCTCTGTAATATATTTTGAAAATCAGACTAATAAAACTAGAGATTGTAAGCTTTCAAATGATATATAGTTGGTCAAGATTAGTTTAGGTTTAGTATAGGATATTACTGTTTAAAAAATGTAATGGCTTTGGGCCCACCAGTGGGCCGGTGACACTTTTAAAAGACTTCCATAGAATAATAGCAGTCTGTGTTTATGTTTTACTTTCAGATGTAATAGCATAAATATTGCTGCTCAAACTGTCTACTCTCCAGGCAGCTGGATTTGTCTTTGAATGTATGGGAGTGTTAATGAGACAAAGGTGTGTACAAAACAGGGAAGAAGCCAGTGGGTCAAATGTCATTCTTGGAGTTTACCTTTAGTTGTTGCATCCCCGTTCTATTGCACACGTAGCATGCACAATCCATAGCCTACCATTGTAAAACTACCAATTTTACAATTAAAGTAAGAATAAAATACAATATTTATTGATGCGTTTTGGTCATGGAACCATTCATCATCTAATGAAAAGGCATGTATTGATGGTCAATAAAAAAAAGTGTTTTCATGGACATAGTCATTTGAGCTCTCCTAAAATTCAGAATTGTATCATAATTTGCAAGAGTGAAGATCATATTTAATTTCTATAAATAGATGACAGCATTTACATTTATGCATTTAGCAGACGCTTTTATCCAAAGCGACTTATAGAGGAGCATTGGTTGTGGAGTGGTTAAGGGCTGGTGAAATGTGTGTTATGAGCTGCTTCTTGAAAGTTGTGAGGTTTCAGCAGTTCGGGAGGTTGACAGCTCATTCCACAGGAGCAGAGAGGGCGAAGGTTTTGGAAAGCAACTTTGTGCCATTATTTAGATAAAGTTTATTCCTAAAGTAATATATATCCAGCGAAGGTCTATGTCATTTACAGTACATTAATTTACATTATCTCAAAACATGTGAAAAGCCTATCCCCTTCAAGACACTTCGGCACATATCAGTGGCTCATGCTCATGCTCAAGTACAGCAGTCAACATTTGAAGTGGATCAAAACCTTTCATCAAAGTTATACATGAATTTTGAACAATACCCGATCTTGTCTCCACTTCAAATGTTGACACTGTAGTTTAATAATATTTGGCCTATGCTTTTCAGAAAAAGAAAGTAATCAACCATAATGCTATTTATATACAAATCTATTCTAAAGCTCTGCATGTGAAATTACACAAATGCATTAAAAATGAGATTTATGATTTTACTAAAATAGTCAAAAATAAAAGTTATAATAAATAATAAATAAGTTTAAATCTCGCAATTCAGACTTTATAGTTTATATCGCAATTGCAATAATTAAATAATGAGATGTAAACTCACAATTACAAGAAAAAAGGTCAGAATTGCAAGATATAAATTCACAATTCTGACCTTTTTCCTCCCAATTGTGAGTTAATATCTCAGAATTTAGACTTGTTTCTGAGGTAAAGTCTTCTGAGGTAAAAGGTCACAATTAGCATTTTTATTTTTTATAAAACATAGTGGAGGACAGCTTTCATGCCTAAAATTTTGAATTGTGAAAATTACATGATAGGATCGGGGCAATGGGGGGAGAGTAATGCCTTTTTTGGCATACATCATCAGTATGACATCAGAATAAGTACAAGTGTCATACACCTGTGTGTCACGTCATAGGTACCTATCCATAAACAGAAAAAGTTATCTCCGGCTATTCTGGCATGTGTGGCGTGAAGCTAAAAGCTAATTGTCAAAACGAGGGAAAATGGACCACACCTTTTGGACCAAACTCAGGGTTACAGGATTCGTTTCGAGTTGACAAAACCAAACCAATCCAATCAAGACGCTGATAATTAACTTTCTCTGGCTTTGATCCTGAGTTTAAATGAATAACTATGGAGCACATGCACATGAAACTGTGACCTCAGTAGCGAACAGCCACTGCTGCCAACTAATTTTCAGGAGAAGTTGCTAGAGGCAGTTTGATTTGTTGCTAAAAGTTTCTAAATGATGTTGTGATGTCATTGCGTGATGATGGCATTACATAATGGCGTAAAACTAGATCATTTGGTAGAATACACTGAATTTACTCAAATTGACTGGCGGCCATTTTGGCCAAAAAAAATATGATGGGAAATTAGTTTAGATTTGTTTATTGTTTTCTTTTTTTAATATCACATTTTGGTAACACTTTATTTTGAAGGTCCCTTTTGCAAATTCTGTTGATTATAAGTGACTTTGCAACTACATATCAACTTATTCTAACCATAAACCTACCAGTTTACTGTTTGACCAAAAAAATAATTAAGTTTGTCTCGTCGAACACATACTGCTACTACAGTCAGCCAACATGATCACTGCTGTCACTTACTGCTGACATCACTCACAATGCACTTTTGACAATTTTGCAATCACATAGACAGACCATGTGTTAGAAAAGTTTAAAAAGTTTCTAAAAGTCAACAAATAAAATGTAAACGTTGCTAAATTGGTTGCTTTTTGAAGAAAACAAAGGTGACAGGGTAGTCTGAAAAGTTGCTAAATCTAGCAACAAAATTGCTAATTTGGTATCACAGGAAACAGTGAAACTGCGATTAACATCTCTCTTTTGGTAAACATTCAGAGATTGAAAAATATTTAAATGCAAGCAATTATGGTGATAAACACCACTAAAAGCAGAGCCACTTTTATGGTGCATGCCTAAGACCCAGGATTGGCACAAACTAAACTAAAACATAGCTTGCTAGCCACCTAAACCGGCTTCATGGCATAGGGGAGACTGGGTATGGTTGTAACACTTTTTGCTTCAGCATCTGTAATTCAATTCATTTTTGACCTAGAGTGCTTAAACTTTTATACAAAGTACCCACATATACAAAAATTTTCATTGTCTAAGGTCTCAGAATCCTCACCACTGGCTTTCAACATTATTGTTGTTGCAACTGATCTTACTGACCCTTCTTTGAAACCTCATTAGTTCCTCTTTTTTTTAACACTGGCAGACACACATCTATTTGCCATTATTTTCCACTGTCTGGCATTCTGTAAAATTATTAAAAAGAAACAGTTTTTAGTTGCATGTAAGGGGATGGTTGTAACACCTTTTAAAGATATGTTACAACCCGCCCTACCCCTGTTAGACAGTGTTAAGCTGTCAAAAGTTTGAAATTAGCAGGTTGAAAATGCATAATATTTTGCTTAAGAAACTACAATTTAATCTAATATAAGTTATATGATTTTATCTGCAAAAGGCAAGTACTAAACAAAATAGTTTTAGTAAAAAAAAAAATAATAATAATATTTTTCTTTATAAAATCTCCATGTACCTATTTACAGCCCTGACAGAAGTGGGCAAATTATGAAATGATCATATGACCCTTAGGTTATCCCTAATTGGTGGTGTTACAACCATTCCCAGTCTGGCCCCTGGAAAAAATCATGGTTGTAAAGAAAAAAAAAAGAAAAACAACCAACATTTTGTTAAACTACTGATGACTCATTTATTTTAAAATATCAATGTTTCCAATAAAACCAAAACAATAACATACAACATGGCACCTGTTCAGATTATATCTTTTAGATTTCCATGTGTTCAACGGTGCCACAAACCACATTCAAACAATGCTCTTCCGCAAGATGCATGCAGTTTTATTTAGATGGCCCAAATTTAAATAGTGTAGCTTTAGGAAGCAGCAAATAAAAACGGCTACTCTTTAACCACAAACAACATCAATAAATAATTTCTTACTAATAATGAACTGCTTTAACTACTGTTTTTCCATCGGTTTACAAGATTGGTCCTATAATATGCATGCATAAAAACATTTTTAGTTTCATTCATAAATAAAACAAATATATAAAACACTTAGTCTAGTTGCAGTATAAAGTCACAGTGTTAAAAAAAAAAACATTATATGGTTATATATATATATATGTTTTTTTCAGCAGACTTATTTTTCTGCTTTTCAGAAAGTCATAGTAAATCCAAGGGTTTACATACTTTTTCCTGCAACTGTATAAGGCATAAAACATTTATGGGAACCGTACTCTACTTAATAATAAATAAAGCAGGATTTGTCGTTTTTAAGGGATGTAAAATGAAGCATTATAATGAAGGTTTCATCAAAAATGAACAGTACAGGATCTATGTTTTTAGCTAAATAACAATAAACATCCCCAACTAAAAATATAAAAGGTTACATATTAATATTAGTGCCGTCAATTGATTATTTTTTTTTTTACTAATTAATCGCATTGTTCTGTAATTAATCACACCTAAAATTAAAGTTAATATATTTTTATATTGTAATAATTACATATTTAATCTCCATATTAATGTAAAAACAACAAAGACAGTAGCCTATATTTAAAAAAAAATGTATTGCATCTTTTTTTTGAAAGAAGGCCAGTTTCACCGATTCCAATACAGCTACTGATGTCTAAAAAATAGATTTTCTTTCTCAATTTTAGTCATAGCTAGCATTACAGTATAAATTCAAGCTATAAATTGGACCATTTATTAGGCGTTTTATCAGGGCTACATTTTTTCTATTGGCCCAGTCAGACAGGTTTAGATTTTTACTTGCCCTACTAAAATACACACAAATTTGCTGTTCTGATGCGGATCTGACACGCATCTCATTTTCTAATAACTCTTTATGTTAATTTAAGACTTCATTTAACTCATTAAGGACTGCGCTTGCGAGGATACTCGACAAAACAGGCTTTTTTTGCATAATTTTGTGTTTTTGTCCATTCAATTGCTGTCTGAAGCTGCTTTACAGACAGGAGACTTAGACGCGCCTTCTCTTTTGTGTCTTATCGCGCATGAATGGTTTAAAAGCATGTGCATGAATAAGAGTGTGTAATGTAACGCTACGGGAAAATATGTAACACAATTAACGCAACATCTGTTTTAAAGCGTTACGCTGCAAAAATGAACACGTTAATTTTGACAGCCTTAATTAATATGAATCATTCTAGCAATTTAGATAAAACAATATTAATAAAAGAAACCTAGAAGGGGATTCTAAGATTTTTCAGGGTGGTCTGGCAACTGTGGATATAGTTGATAATCCAGATATGGAGGTGGAGCTGATGAGTCAGACTGATGTGAAACTGTAGGACCAAATTGACCAGGAAGTCCAGCGTAACTAGAGGGGGCAAACTGACCCGGAGGTCCAGGGTAACCAGGAGCAGGAGACTGACTGAGAGGAGGTCCAGGGTAACCAGGAGCAGGAGACTGACTGAGAGGAGGTCCAGGGTAACCAGGAGCAGGAAACTGACTGAGAGGAGGTCTGTAGTGGCCAGGGGCCGCAAACTGACCAGGTTGTCCAAAAACATTAAGTGGTGGGGCAGATTGAGGCGGGTTGCGGTACGCATTCCAGACTTGAAAGTCACTGTTTGTAGCACTACTTGCAGCTGATAAAGACTGAAGAGGAAGAATCACTATTGGGAATTTGATCTCCGGGTCTGAGGCATACGGCACATCCAGGTAGACCTAGGAACAAATTAGGAGTGGGTAATGGCAACAGAAATGTGTCTCTGTACGAGATGAGCAATCAACACAGCTCTTGATTTAAAAGATGGTTGCCATGTCAAAATCCAGTTTTGAATTAAAAATATTTCAAAGCTGGATTTTGACATATGCCAATGTATTTGTTCACTTCATTGCAATGTGACTGTTTGTCATTGCTTTAGATGCTGAAACTCACCCTGAGTCTGTACTCAACCTTGAGTACCCTACAGTTTAGGATAGAGACGGTAAGGCTGGGAGGAATGGGCAGCACTTTGGTGACGGTTTTTCTTGAGTTCGGCTCAATAGGATCCCCTTCCTCTTTAAAAAGGTCCTGTGTGTGAAGTTTTCTCTTTCCTCTTGCGAAAAAACTGTGTTTTTCATACAGGCAGTATTTTGGCTTGATTGTACGGGATGTATTGTTCTGAACTTCAGCCAAAATTTTCAAGCCCTCTCCTGTAGTGAGACACAATAAGATACGATTATGTAAATTAAAATTACTTGATGAATTATCCCAAGAAACTATGACTCTGTCAATTCTGACAAAATAGGCATCTTAATTCAGAATCATGTTACATATGAGAGATAAAAAAATACACAATTAAAAATGTAAATTTATAAAGAAAACAGTGCTTTTTACATTATAATTGTATGTATACATTTTGTGTAAGCTCTATAAATGATGCTTTTCCACAAATAGTGTAGGGAGAAAAAAACAGGTAGAACCAATTCTACAAGTGGTGAGTGGGCTCAGATGGACTTATGGTTGATTTCAAGCACGAAATGTGTAACTTCTTTGTCAATTATTACAATAGATCTGAAATGACCACATTCATCATCTTAATCTACCCGTTTACACAACAGTGCTTACAGAGAATAAACAAGAAATTCGTGGAAAATATCCATCCAACTCTCACCTACTCCACAGATGTTTGGTGTTTGCAATTTTATATATATTTCATCTTCTTACAAAGATTCAGATATGGTTGTCTATAGTAATCAAACTTTGAGTTTGAGAAATAAAAACATGAACACTGTTGAGGTGTTATAATAAGAGCTATAATTTTACCGAGGTAGTATCCCATTTTCTCAGTGTTTATGTTCATGGAGACACTCCCAGAGGTGAAGAGTTTCATTTGTTTATCTTTGGTTCCATACTGAGGTGCCTAAACAAGACAAAACATGTAAAAGAGAGGTGACTGAACCTTAAAACATAGTAGAGGAACGTATGATATACATTAGAAAGACAGTGCATGGGATATAGTCGTAATCTCACCATTAGTTCAGGATTGGACACAACAGGACTGGGGACATAGTGAAACTCTGCTTTGGCTTTGCTAGAAATACGCATTGATCGGGATAGTTTTGTCTCCAAAGTGTAGACGATTTTTCCAACTGAAGCTTTAAAGGTTGGTGGGAAGTGCCTATAAGAAAATAATGTCATGTGTAAACACAGAGTAATCGTACAGCAGCAAGTAAAGTATCATTAAAAGGTTGAAATTCTTGAAAAAATAAATATTAGCTAAATTAAAAGTTATATTTTATTAATTCTATTTTAGTAATATATTTATATTAAATTGTTATTTAAGATATAATTAATATCTGAAAAATGTGCCCACCAAATCAGTGAGGCATAAACAAAATGGATATTAAACATTTTTAATAACAGTTGAAAGAAAGTGCAAAGAAAGTTTACTTGATGGTACACTAAAGGACATTTATTTATGTTTGTTTGTCTTAATATAAAACATTTAAAAAATATTTATGAAAACAAGATCGATACAAAAATGACAAAACACAACATTGTGCTTTCTACTTTTCTTTAGCCCATATTATCTCGCAACGAACCCGTAACTTACTGTAGAGGCAACTGAAAGGTGAATGGATAAACATGACGTCCAGGTACCACAACCGAAGGATCTAATAAATAAAAAAAATTAAAAATAGCATGTTTTTAAGTTTAATTCTCAAAGCTCTTTTTGCAATATTCATCCGCGAACAGACTTACACGGCTGTCCTGATGGATCTTTCAGCGTCTCGTGGTGATTACCTACAAGATTAAGTTACAGAACAAAATAAAGCTTTTTAAATCGACCTAATTTCCACTAACTGTAGGCCCTACCACAAAAACTACAGATTTAATTTTACCATGCGTTTTTTCCTCCCGAACGAAAAACTTCTCCACTGAATAATACTTCTCCTTATCCGAGTAAACAACAGTGGTTTTACCGTGACGCTCGGTCCAGCAAACCTCTGCTTTCCCTTTAATTTTCACACTCAGCGACTGCATTTTCGTGTCCTTCGCTACATCTAGAATGACTTGTCCCGATATAAAATCCCCGCTGGTGAAGGTATTGTTCTGATTGATAGGATTGTAAATGACAGAAATGTTTTTCACGGTGAGGGACATCGTGTCTCCAGTCAAGGGGGTATCCGCTTCTGACGTTTGAACTCAATGGAATCGCTTTATAGTATGGACTGGGCCAGGCGATTGCTGCAGGGAAAAATCAGCAAAGTATGTGGACTTCCAACTGTGGGTGGGCGGGCCATACCGGAGTTAGAGACACTTATTTTTCTGTGCTGTTCGGGACAAAACAAGACGGCATATTTCAAAACGTAGCCTATCTGAAGTCTTTGTATCGCTTGAGAGATTTGCCGCTTGGGGATGAGTTTCAAAACGGAATCGTTCGTTTGAGAATAGGCTATAAATAAACACACACACACACACACACACACACACACAGCCTATAGCCTACCCTTGTGAAAAAAGTGCACTTTAGTGTACTTTTATAAAGTGTACTTATTACACAAATAATATAGGCCTACTTTAAAGGTAGGCTATACACTTAAGTGTGAATTAAATGCAATGTTTTCGGCGCACTGAATGCACATTAAGTGTAATTGATTTCAAATGTATCATATATTAAGTTGAAATAAAATGTAATAAGTTGCCATTAAGAGTGATTTTTTGGAACAACTTAATTGGGACTTTAATACAACTTTATATCTACTTTCACGATTGCTTCTAGTGTATTTAAAATATAGTTAAAGTGCACTACACAATATAATGACGCAATTAATGTGAACTAAAATATACTTTAATGTCAGTCAACAATACACTTAAGTGTGAATTAAATGCAATGTTTTCGCCGCACTGAATGCACATTAAGTGTAATTAATTTCAACTATTATCACATATTAAGTTGAAATAAAATGCAATAAGTTGACATTAAGAGTGATTTTTTGGAACAACTTAAGTGGGACTTTAATACAACTTTATATTTACTTTCATAATTGCTTCTAGTGTTTTTAAAATATAGTTAAAGTGCACTGTTCAATCTACTGACAAGCAATTAATGTGAACTAAAACATACTTTAATGTAAATTTACAGTACACTTAATTCTTAAGATACTAGTTTAATTTGTTCTGGAGAAAACCTGCAACAACTCTTGAATACAGGGGAAAATGAATTAAAAAAGATGAAGAGCTGGTTTGATGCAAATAAACTAACACTGAACCTAAGTAAAACTAAATTTATCATTTTTGGTAATCGTGCTACAACTATAAATAAAAAACTTATGATAAATGATATTGAAATAGAAAGAGTAAGAGTAAAAGAAATGAAATGTTTGGGAGTAATAATCGATGAAAAATTATGTTGGAAGCAACATATACATTATATCAAGGCAAAAATATCAAAATCAATTGCTATATTGTGTAAAATAAATTACCTATTAAATCAACAAACATTGTACATGTTGTATTGTTCCTTCATACTTCCATACATTTCTTATTGTTTGGAAGTATGGGGAAACACTTACAAAACCAACACTGAATCTATATTTATCCTTCAAAAGAGAACAATAAGAATTGTTAATAAAACCACTTATAGAGCACCAACTACTCCATTGTTTATTAGATTAAAAGCATTAAAATTTAGAGATATTGTTGACTTTAAAACTGCACAAATTATGTATAAAATAAATAATCAACAGCTATCGACCAGTATTCAAGGGTTGTTCCAAATGAGAGAGAGCAAACATCACTTAAGAGGAACATTGGTATTTAGAAAGAAACATATAAGAACAAATTCTAGATATCACTGCATCACAACAAAAGGAGTGAATGTATGGAACAGCTGCAGTGAAGAGATGAAATCATGTACAACTATGAGTACATTTAAAAAACTATTTAAACTGAAGATATTAAATGAATATGAAAAGGCCTTGAGGTGATAGTATTGTACAATAGTATCGTATTGCATGAATGTAGGTATGCATTTGTTTCTATGTGAAGGCATGGGTTTATGTGAACAGTAAGTTGATATACAGTCTATGTAAAGAAGTATGTATATGAGAAGTGTCAAATTGTTTTGTATTTAACTAAATGATAACAATAGAGAAAGGGGTAGGACTTGAAAAGTTTGCTATGAACTTCTTCCTACTCCTTTTTGAACATGGGAATTTCTAAGTTGAATGACCTTTATTAATTTTGGAAGTTTGTGCTGAGAAGCACAGTTCCTTATATAACTATTATTTTAATTTTATTTGTGAAAGCATGTTTGTATAATTCTTATTTTTATGTTTTCTACATGTTCAAAATAAACTACTACTACTAATTAAATGTAATGTTTCATAAACAAATACATATTTGCAAAATAAATTAAAATATATCAATTTAAATTTACATTAAATACAATCAGTTGAACTTAAGTGTGATTTTAATGCATCTTTCTACAGTATGTACTTTAACTACTCCTATTGTATGTGAAATATGGTTATTATGTATCATCTCCAGTCAATCCTTTGAAAGGGTCACAATAAATGTCACAAGTTGCTGATCAAGTCGAAGTAACGTTAGTTTCAGTAAAATAATGTGCAAATTACAACTCAACAGAAATCGAAGAACGGACGTCTTTTTCTTTTACATTTATCGTTTAATCAAAACGTATGTGAATATTTTAGTAATATTTACCTTAATGCGACAGGATGCAAAATTGCAAATGCACAAACATTTTCGTCGACTTGCTAAGTTAGTCGTTATGGTGACTCTCAACTTGACCAATTACGTGACATTCGCTCATGCCTTCACGTCATTGGCTGGTTTGTATTCAAAATTTGACCGGGAAATTTGGGCCAATGTTGCTGATTAAGAAATTATTTTGTTTGCAGATATACAACACATTGTGTTGTTAGACTCTGTGAATTCACAAAACTTGACTCATTCACCTAACTAAAAGTCAATCATTTTTATAATCTAGTCTAATTTAAATTAAATGTATTTAAACTTAATTTAAATGTAAATTAATTTTGTTTAGATTTGTTTAACTTTGCTCGAAATTAATGCAATTAAATGTGTGTTTAATTGACTTAGAACAACATAATGATATTAAAAGTATTCTGTACACAGATGTAAAGTACAATACATTAATATTACATTAAGAACTCATAAATGACATTTTATTGTCAAATATTATGTAGAAAACTGACACTTTTAATTGAGTTCATAGAGCAGGAGCTGGTGATAAAAATGTCAACAATAAGTTGTACTGGAGTATACTGTATAAGCAAATGTATTGCAGTTTAGAGGAAAAATACATTTCAAATGCATTAAGGCACACAGTATATTATAGACTAAACACATTTAAAATACAGTAACAAAATAATTTTGGACAACACACTTGAGTTGAAATTAAAATTATTTTCCATGTTTTCCATTCAAATTATTATTTTATTTACTATATTAGTCAATACATAAACATAACTGTACTTATAACACTGACTTATAGTAACACTATAAAATCATTATTATTTAAAATGTATGTTTAAGTAAAACTTAAGTAAACATTTTTAAAAAGTGCATTTAAGTGTGTTTAGAAATATTGTCATGGAAGTGTACTTTCTTTAAGTAAAACTTAATTAGACATTATTACAAAGTGCATTTTTAAAAGTGCACTTAAGTGTGTTTATAAATATTGTGATGAAAGTGTACATTAAGTTAAACTTAATTAGATATTATTACAAAATGCATTTGTAAAAAGTGCACTTAAGTGTGTTAATAAATATTGTCATTAAAGTGTATTCCCTTTAAGTACACTTAAGTGGTCTTTAATTTGAATTATATTATATTATCTGCAAGTGCACTTTTCAAAAAGTATACTTTTATGATTTTAAGCACACAAAAAGTATGCTTTCAATACAATTAAGCAAGCATACTTCTTTTTCACAAGGGTATATTCTCTAGAATAACATAACTGTTTGATTTATCCCCTCACTTACTTACACCTAAGTGTAATTAAAATCAATTAAAAAGTAATTGAAGTGATTGGTATATCTGTTTTTTTTTTTTTTTTTTTTAGGCAGCTGACGAAGAATTTGGGGCACCTCCTGAAGATGGACAGTGACTGACACACATATCACACACACACAGAAATCTTTGTTCTTGTTACTTGTTGTTTAGCCTTTACTATATATAGGCCTATATATATATATATATATATATATATATATATACACAGTATATTCTTGATGTTGTTATACTGTTTTCCAATTATTTGGACGAATTTAGATTTTTGATTTACTGTGTTTGATTTACTTGTTTTCATACCAATAACTGAATTGTCCCCCCCATCTTAGAAGCTAGTTATTTTAGTCGATAAAGTTTTAAATATGAATATTTTTCTTACACAAACGTATCGCTTCACTTCAGAAGGCCTTTATTAGAGTTCCCTTTCGAGAACGGTCACTTCGTATTGCGTAGCTAATACGCAGTGGGGGAACTCCTTTACCCGAGAAATATTGAAGCTAATAATTTAAAACGCAGTGCAGCTGCACAGCGAACACAGCAGAGCGTCTAGCTCTAGCTCGCCCATTGGTTGTGCTGCGGCAACTGCACATATGGCCAAGCGCCTCTGACGTGCGACCCAATCAAGTGACTTGGCGCCCAACACGTCAGAGCGCGCCTAAATGGGCGTGGCTTAAGCTTAAAAAGAGTGCCCATTTTGGCCAGCTAGCAGATATTCTCTCCTTCAGCGACACTTCACGTCTCTGACTCTGAAGCCTTCGCCGTGGAAACAAGCCAGACAGCTAGAGCGAGCCTTGCAAACAGCGGACAGCGCCTTCAACTCACCTCGAAGACGTTTCTCTTCTGTCGCTGCTCTCCTGTGGCCATCCGGCGGAAAACACTATAATATCCTTTTACTGCTACTGTTGTGTTCGCCGCTGCGACACTCAGTTTCTAAAAGAGAAATTTCAGCGAGCGTTGTTCCAATTGCCTCGCTCTTCATGCACCTCATGCGGATCACGTCTACACGAGGATGACGGGCACACGGAGTGCGCCACGTGCCTGGGACCCGCCCACGCTCTGCCACGGGCTGCTCTCACTGCGAGAGCCTGCCCATCTCAACGCTGCTGATGCTGTTAGCTCTCTTTTGAGACGGCGACACCGCTCC